CCTCCCTCCCTTTTCTTGTCCCTTTTTTTTTTTCTTTTTCTTTTGTACTCCAGGTCATATCACTGAAGTAAACAGTTTAAGTGGATGTCTCAATCCTGCAGTCTTTACTTTTGCAAAAGTCCGTTTTTAACTGAGGAAATAAAAGCAGGAGGAACACACACCACAAAATGTTCCTTTTTTTGTGAGAAAAGCAAGCGAGCAAAATAAAGTAACATAAACAGGAAAGGAGAAGGAGCTCCACAGTCTTGTAAACCTGAGTGCAAACATCTCCTCTTTGTAAGAAGTTTTTCCTTTGTATTTGTGACATTCTGTTTACAGCTCTCCCTTGTCAGAGTCTGCACAGGGAAAACTGGGAAGGTGAGTTGAGATCAACCCCTCCTTTTCTGGAGACTGGAGAACGTTTGGACTCAGCATCATGGAATTTTACATTTTACATGAGGACTGGGCTTATGGTCTGCCAGTAGTTGCAAATTCACCTCATTTCCACAACTGCTCCTACATTGCAGAGCTTTTATTTTTCAATTTCATTATTTATCTATGGAGAAAATAGACTGCTTACTTAAATTGTCTTCATCCTCCATGGTGGTTGGGCCAGGACTCAGGTACTTGAAGGGTGCTATGAAGGTTGACAGTATGCTTAGTTTTTCTATAAGAAAACAGAAGAAAAGATACATTTAAAATCAGTACTCAGTCAGCGCATTCAGTTCTACTTCACAGTTTTACTGAGGTCAAAACATCTTGGCAAGTCTGTTTCTTCTTTTTAAAATTTTCCTGACTCTACAGTCCCACCAAAGTTCACTGAACTTTGATGAATTTATTACAGCTGGCACATGCAAACACCAAACACACATTTCTCCTTGTTTCTGGCTCCATATAGTGTTCCTGCTCTGTGCTTCCCAGCAGTGGTGCCCTCTTGCTTTCTCTCCCTGATGCAAGTTGAAACAGAAGTCTTAGAGAAAGCTCAAGGGCTGATGGTACAAGAGACTACAATGGCTCCTAAATCTATAAATTGCTGATATGATTTTTGGGAAACCCTTACAGTGTGCATAGGAAGCTATTATTCATACAATAAAAACACTATTTGAAATCCCTCTTGTGTATATTCATATTAAGTGCTGTTCCTTTTAACAGCAGTTTCTGTTTATCCTGCAGATAGTAGATGGCAGAAAATGTAATTCCAAATGCCATGATCAGAATCTTCATTAGATGCCAGGACAGATTCAGCAAAATGAGAACTGATACTGATTTATACTAGCTTAAATTTTGGCTAAGGATTTATCTATAGGAAATGCTGAAGTTAACACAAACACTAGAAACAGGGATACATTTAAACATTTTATTTCCTTTGATAACTGGTTTATTTAGCTGGACATTTACCTTGTTTAGGCTGAATTCCTCTCAGCAAACTATGGGGACCAACATTAACAGGGTGTCTACTTAACATAAGAAACAGAAACACACCTTACAAAGGTGATCCACAGCTTTGAAGAACTTACTTGCTTTCCTAAAGTACTCATTAGCTTAGAGAGCCTCAGCTATGGCTGAGGAAATAGGTAGCTGAGGCTCACCTATTTCTCCAGGTGGAAAGGCTCTGCATCCTGCACATTGTGAACAGTGCTGGCCTTTCATCCTGTGGCAGAAGCATCAAAACCAGACCAAAAATGCATTCTTTCAAATAACCCAGGAAAATATATTTCTATGAGGGCTTTCTTTATTAGTGAGAAAATATTTCTCTGAATTTCCTTAAACTACCTGGCTGCTCAACTGCCACTGGTCTGGAAGGCATTCCAGTTGAAGAGCTTTAAAACTTCTTCATCAGCACATCTGTTAGCTTTTTGGCCTGGTTCTTCCTACATTTGCAAATAATCCTTGCTCTTTTTAAAGACTGTTATCAGAACCCATCAAAAATGACTGCATATGTTTGCCCTTAGCTGGGTAACACTGCAGCTCAACTCTATTACGGGAATTCACAGTAAAAGCTGACTGCTCTTTGTTAAGTAAATACAATGAGCAGAATAAAAGATTGCCTGAAGAAAACCTTTTTCAGTCCAGAAACCTTTCAGCCCAGACTAATATATAATTAGAGCACAAATTAGCCTCCTTCAATTGCAATTTCATTAAGGGATTGCAGTGATGTCAGGAACCAAAAGAATTAAGCTATTTATGAACGCTATAGCTAAAAGATTTTCCTAAGTGAATCCTTTGACACTTTTTTTTGCTAAGGCATTGCTCACTGAGAAATGTGGTGTCTCTGTATGACACCATCTCCCTGTGTGTGAGACTGTTGGGTTGTGATCACAATAAAGGCTGGTATTCACTCCTGACTTTCCCAACTGGTTTCTTTGATTAAAGTGAAAAGAGCGTAGGTTTTTTGGGATCTAATCCAAAAACTACATTTGGTAAGGGGAATGCTTCAGATGAGAGACATAGGATCAGGGCAGCCCTCGGCTTCAGAACCAGCAATGACTGTTGTGTCTGGATACTGAGATGCAGAGAGCTGAAGTGTGTGCACTCCACCTGGGTCTAACTGTTGACAGCTGTCAGATCCTCAGAACTAACCCTCAAGACACTGGATGTCACACACAAACCTAAATCTTCTTTGCTGAGAAAATATTCTCACTTCTCATAGAGAGTTAACCCATTAAGCAAGCAATGAGGACATGTGCTTTCTTGCTGCAGTGACTAATGCTTACTCCTGCCACCAATCAAAAAGCAAACCTGTGTAATTTTATACTATATTATTACTAGCTAAATAAATATTTTATGATTTAGTTTTGTTCAATTGATAGGTGAAATTTACAATGTGGGTTTAAAATTTATTAATTTTATTTTTCTTTTCTCTTAAGGGATTGTTTATCCATCTTAAGTTACTGTAATTACTGTTTCTCACCTGTCCTCAAAGACCTTGCTGGTGCCTTTGCTTTGTGTGGCAGAGAAACAGGATGTAAAATTTGCTGCATGCTTAGAGCAGCAATGGGTGGCTTTGTGACAACCAAACTCAGGCAGGCCCTAATAAGAGGATATCCTTCCATCAATACAGATAATAAAGATTGTAATTCAATATTTCAATCCATTGGTTGAGCAATGGAAGATTTAGTGTGCATCTGGAAGGAGGAGAAAGGCAGGATTTTGAGTGAGCTATATAAAAAGAGAAAAGCTGTGGTTTACACATTGAACAGATGAATTACTGAGCCTGTGGAGGAGGAGACGATAAATAACAGGATAATTAAATGTACATGTTTACAGGGAAATAATATGGCTAGGGATAAAACTATTGGTATGATAGTGCACTTCCATCTTTTGCAGGTTATTGCCTATTGCAGTACAGACCATGGGGCACTACTTCAACTTTATTATCAGTGGTGAAATTCAGCATTAATTTAGTTTACCATTTCAGAACAAGACTGGAGAGTTGTGTATTCACACTTTATGGTTCCTGTGTATGTTAATTATCCATCACAATTAGCCTTATTTGCTTAGCAGTTTGATGAAATCTTATGAATAAGAATAAAGGACACGTTTGGATTAAAAAAAGACATACAGAGAAATATCATTAAAGCTTCCTTTCTTCTCTCACTCTCTTCTCCTTCCATGATTTTTTTTTTTTCCAAAGAGAAGCAATGTCAGGTAGCCCAAAATTAGTGCATCTATTTTTACTTCATAATTGTAAATGTTCTCGGTATTTGTTTCTGAGGAAGTTATTTTTCAAGGCTAGGATAGAGGGTTTAAGAGAAGAAGGCAAGACATTTCAAAAACTCTTTTCTGCAGAAATGCAGAATACATAACCATACATTTCTGAGAACCAATAGAGGAAATTATTATTGCTTGCATTACAGTTGTACCAGAAGCCTCTGATGTCATGAAGAAGAGATTTCATGAGGGCTTACATGGGCACAAAGGAAGCTTTGTTTACGATGGAAATTGAGAGACAAAGAGCAGTTATAGTGCAATTTATTTCTAGCCACCCTGAAACACTAATGCAGGATGATAGCATCATATTTTGTAGTGTATTCACCATAAAAACAGCCTTCCAAGTAAAAATCTGCTCTAGTACTCTAAGCACAAAAATCACCATTTCTCCTGAGAAGAAACCTCACTCTCCTGTTTTGGAACGGAAAAGGATTTCAGTTCACTCTTCTTAAGGATATATTTTCCAGCAATAGCAAATACTAAAAAAATAATCATGAACACCGTGTTGACAGTAGCCATATAAATAACTTAAACAAATAAAAAACCCCCATGGGCCAAGATATGTTTTGCATGAAATACAGAAAATTGTTTAGTTTGAACGATTCAGCAAAGCCTGGCATACAAGGCAGGCAGCCAACTTTCCACTAAAATCTGCTCTTTTTGTGAAGTTGCTCTTGCCCTGGAGATGTAGGCAGAAGGCTGGTCACAGGTCCTGTAAATACACTTTTATTGTGAAGACAAGAATACACATATACAGCTATAAACAGCATTTGTGCCCTTCATACCTATCAGTATTTAAAGGGCACCAGATAATGCAGCTTGATCATCAACTCCACGGAAGTTCTTTCACTCTCAATCACCAGAATAAAAGCAATGGAAACAGCAGGAGCTCAACACTTTTAAAAATCAGCCCTTATAGATGTTGGACAAATTGTTTAGCTTTAAGAAGAGCAGACTGAGTGGGGTCATAACAGCAGCCTGCAAGCACATAAAAAGCTACTGGATAGAAGAAAGGAGCAAACTGTATTCTATGTGCATTAACACAACTAGAAGTAATGGACTTAAATTGCACCAAGGAAAATTCACTTTAGACATTAAAAAAACCCTTCCTAACTGTAAGGACAGTGCAGAGCTGGAACGGCTTGTCTGGTGGGGAGGCTGAGGAGCTGGTGGTGCTGAAGGGCTGTAGGGAAATGGTTTGGCATCTGCAAGGGGTTGTCCTCGGTCCCATTCCTTATACTCCCCATATCCCTATGGACCTCAGTAGAAAAACTTGTCCTAACCATGAGATCCCACAGCAGGTTCTAGTTCTTGGAAACTTGGAAAAGCCAGTAGTATCTGCTAATATCAGCTAATCTCTAAGCAGAAGTTTGTGGCATGCTCTTTTGCTTGGCAGCTAATGAGAACTATTAATAATTGTTTTTTTTTAAAAAAATGCAACCTCCAAAACCAAGAAGGATTAGGCAGATGCAAACCAGTGGCTTGCCAGATCAGTGTTAACAATATTTTACTGAATTTGTTTCATTCTCTCAAATTGATTACCATAAGCTACTTTACTTGTCAGAGGTTTATTCAATAGTATTCTTTTAAAAACACAATGTGGACATTATAACCAGTCCTAACTAATTCATTTGGTTTGTGTGGACTATGAAATTACTCAGGAAGGGACAAATGTGATGCAACAATATAAACTCAGCTGCAAAACCTCCTGGAAAAAAAACTTTTTTTTTTTTTTTTATTTCTCTAAAACAATATTTGCAGCTACTTGGATAGTTACATTTTTACAGTTATGTTAGCCTTGATTTGAAAGAGGGGGGATACAGGGAGAAGAGAGCCTGCACATCAGGACACGATTCTTTATCTTCCTTCTCATATCTTAGTCAGTTCAGGCTTGGGCTGACAGTGACTGACAGGATGAAGCGATTCTTAATGCAAAAGGAAAATATGTCAAATTTG